GCATCGGTTTGGGGGGTTACATTTAGTGGTATCAGAGCTATGGTTTAAGTCAAAATTTTTCAAGATAGACCGGCCGGTCGAATGTCAAAATATGTCTGATCAGTACATGCCCCTAGACTGCAATCATACCTCTCTGAGCCGGAACTCCTGGGCTGAGTCCTTATCTGTAACGAATAAACCGAAGTTTCTATCCGTTAAGGCTATACTTGTACAAAAAGGAATACCAGTAACATCTGTCTTAACGCAGTAAAGTACCTTAGCCATGTGAGAGTTATTCATCTGAGAAATTCTGACTCGACTCCAGAAATAAAATTGAGTTATGTTGCTGCTCTATGAGCCTATTCACGTAACCAAGGCTGAATTGATTTCACAAGGATAAAGTTGTTTTGATTACTTACTTGGACTGAGGGAGAATTCTGAAGAGATTGATTACTCGAGAAAATTTTCGTTCAGATTCTTTTATTGAAATGAGGAAGATTTCTGATAAGAATGTATACTCAACTGGTTAAGGATTAGTGGAGAATCCGTATTTCTATAAAAAGCTACTCGAAGATTTGGAAGAGTTGATAAAAGTTTCATTTCTACATTATGTGACATTAATGAATTTCGAGGGCGAAATTCTTTTAAGGAGGGGAGAATTGTAACACCCCAATTTAGGGGCTAAATTTTAAGAAATTATAATATGGTAAATTTAATTGGTATTTGGAAGAAAATGAGGATTAAATTGCAAAATTTCAAAGTTGGAAGACCATGTTATAAAGTGCAGAAAATTCAGTGGCTAAACTTATGGTTTACCCATTTTTCTTTTTGAGATATTATAAACCCCCATCAGACGCATATTTTTCTGGAAAATTCCAGTTTTCCTCTTCCCCTCAACCTCTTTTTCAACTCCGATCTACTCGCCGTCCGACCTCCGATCGACGAACCGAAACCACCATCGTGTTCGTTGTCAATCGAGGAACAAAACCCCTCAAACCTTTCGTCGTGAATCATTGTCGTTCGTCATTAATTTCAGTCGAAAGTATCGTCGGTAATAACTCGATTTTAGTTGGTTTTTCATCTATTCACGATGATCGGGTAATCCGTTTACGACACCTCCCGCACCATTGCGTTCCTTGCATCGTTCCGAGTCTGTCGGTGTCATCCTTGGTCTCCGTCGACGGCGGCGCGTGAGGAGGTGAAGCGATCAAAGTTTCCGACGTTTTGGAATCGAGCTCTCCGCCGTTCAAATTGTGAACCGATCTTTGTAAGTGCCTCAAAATCGCTTAAAATAATTTTAGGAATTTTTCCGGGAATTTTCCGACACGGGGTTACTGTTCACGCGCCGCACGCGCCACCACCTGAGAATGGGCTTCGTCTGGAAGCCTGAGGAGCCGTTTGAGCCGAGCCGCTTGAGCTGAGCCGAGCCGTTTGAGCTGAGCCAAGCCGAGCCGCCTAGATCGAGCCGTTTACTGTTGACCACCGTTGACTGACGTTGACTACAGTTAACCAAAACGTTGACCAGCTTTGACCGGGCATTAAACGACCTTTGACTTCGACCGAGTATACCTATCTTGATAGTTTTCGACGTTCCAAATCCGATTCCGTAATCCGTTTTCCAAAATTCGGACCCGAAGGCCTCGATATTGCCGGTCAAACCCGTTGACTTTGATTTTGACCGAAAATTCCAAATTTTCGAAAAGTCATACTTTATGCTTTCGACGTCTTGAATCCGAATCCGAAGTCGGTTTCGCCAAATTCGAACCCGGTAAGCTATTTTTGACTAATTTATCACCCGATTCGATCCGTTTATTGCAATTAAGCTCCGTTTCTGATATAATTTATGTTGATATTTATCTGAGGAATTATTTGAAGTTGAATTGAAGATCAAAGGCATTCGAATGGAATTTTATGGTCGATCGGTATTGCACGGAAATCGAGGTAATACTTTACTACCTCTTTATGCTTTATGGAACATGTTGATATGGGTAAATGCATGAATAAGATAATGTTGGTCACTTTTGTGGAGTTGAATAATTTATTCACTCGATATGAATGTGGTAGAAATTCTGTAACTGAATACGGATCGAATGACTAAGATAAGAGATTGATAATTGTTAGAATTAAATTACAAGTTTGTGATTGGTGATAAAGAAATCAGCTCTGGATTTGTAAGTTATATTTTATACCATCAAGGGTTAAATGTTAAAGATACTTGGATGAAAAATTATGAGAGTTTGTGAAGGAATCATTTCAAAATCAAAGAATGTTCGGGAAAGCAATTGATCATAGGATCTCTAAATTATAATTATTTTCGTTAAGTGCTAATATTGAAATTATTTGGTTAAGAAACTACGAAAATGCCCTTGAGAGATAAAATAGTCTGAATTGACCCTGAATGAGAGAGTACTTTGAGGATTTGTACTTAACTCGATTAAGTACGAATTTAATTGTTAAGATCCTGTCTTTGTACAGAAAAATTTATAATATTCCGTTTGTAAAATCTGAGAAGACACTTGACCCGAAAATATTCGAATAAGGAGTAAATACTTGAAGAGTAATTTATTGGAGGTATTCTGCTGACATAATTGTTCGAAAGGACTGAAGTAAATGATAAGATTGAATTAAATAATAAGACCGGATGGAAGGAAATGATTGAAATATTCTAGAATTATAAAATGACCAAATTACCCCTGGAATGGAAATAACTCAAGAATGTCACCAAGCTCAGGAATGAATGGATATACTCAAGCTTTGAAATGAATAGAAAAAAATGTTAAGCACCAAAATGACCAAAATGCCCTTATGACCTAGAATAAGTAAATGTCTTGGATTAATTAAGAAATCCAAATAAACATGGATGTTGTGCTACCAGTAAAGTTGTGAAACGCAACTTAAGTGATTAACCAACGTAGTACTATATCATTACCTGAATGATATAAGTATCACTTGAATGTTTGTTCATCTGCTCAAATTTGGATCGATGATAATTCTGGAAGTACTTGGCGTAGCTCAACTCTAGAGAGCATACAGTACTAATAAGTGGGTAGTCGTTAGTCAAATCAACCACGAATACCATAATAACTTTATATGAATAAATTGAAATGAAATGTAGTACAACGTGTATTTGAAATTCAGAAACGTCTGAATTATTCTGGAAAACTTTAAAGTAATCGGGATAGACTTGCTTACCAAACGAACTAAGTAACATCAATGAGTAAGGATTAAATAGGTGATTTGATGAGTTTGGAAACACTGTTGAACTTACATGATGAATTGTCATTATGGGTTATGAGCCATGGATCAAGTACGTCAGTATTTCCTGATATTGTTGAAACGTAGAAATGAAATAAAGACCGTTGGAAGATTTATTCAGTGATGATTATGGGGATGATCTATGGATCTGCACTATGGTATTAAAGAGTGAATACACTGGAAGGATAATGAATTGACTTGTTGACATGCATCAGTTTGAGAGTTGTGTAACTCGAGTTGTTTGATAATATGATCGATAGTCGTAGATTGTAAATGACTTGAATCTTCGATTCTATATTTCATCTAAAATCACTTCGGTCATGTTTGAAAAAAAAAAACAAGTAACGCAGATGGAAAAGATTCTGAATATCTCATTGGTTCAATTGGGCTGAAATCCTATGAATTTAAAGTATATTCCTGAATACCCCTGATTGTTTGGGTAATGGAATCGCTCGCAGTAAATCTGAATTTAGAATTATTATGTATAAAGGTTCATGAACGTTTTCCTAAAGCACACGAAAATATAGTGGGATTCTAATGTATCAATATTAAATGTCTGGCTAGATCGGTTAGTAATCGATTCTCCTCAATAGGATCTTGTTCCAGGAATTCGATCAAATTTCATAAGTTTCATGTTATCCAAAATGATAACTACAATGGCCTCTGGAAATACTGGGATTCTCTAGTGTGTTCCCTACTTATTACTGAACTGTTTTATTGGTTTTAATATGTGGTACACCGAATTCATTGGTTATTGTTTTATGGATGCACCAATTTAATGTGACAATTTATGGAATATGGCTGCTATCTAATTTTTGTTTTGAAATGGTATATGATTACCATGGTTTTGGATTTATGGAATTTATGTCACGGTGCAATTGAATTTTGGAATTGAATTACGATGGAATAGCTCTGATCAAGCTAAATGGGCCTAATGTGACTCTTGAGGGCCCCAAGATGTTTCATTAGGTCGGCTTTCCTTTGCTGTGTGCTTAGGGTAAGCTATATGGACTTATTGACTTGGGCTTAAGGATACAAGCTTCATAGCCTATCCTTAAGTCGGCTTTCTTTTTGCTATGTGCATAAAGTAAGCTATATGGAAAATAATTTTGGGAACTACTGATGGTGTACCAGAAAAGGGTTTAAACTATGATTTTCAAAAGTTAAACTCTTTTACGAAATTGTGAGATTTACTGGACTATGATTTGTACCTATTATGATTTTATTATACTGTTGGAACACACTAGACATCCTATTCGATCTCCTGAAAATGTCATACTTTGAAAGGTTTCTTATGAACTGAGATTCATGGCTTCTACTCGATGAACTTCTAAGGGAACCCCAAATTATTCTGCAAGCTGGTATACATATGATTCAATAAGGAAATGATATGGCTTTCCATTTATCTACATGTCATGTAGCATCATCTGGTAGTTCTGTATTACTGAGCTTTCCAAAGCTCACTCTATTACTCACCTTTTCAGGTTAAAACAATTGTACCAGTGCATCTATCGACTTCAGTAAGGGAGTTCTTCCGGCGTGGTTGCAGAGTATGGTACTTGTGATTAGGGGGCATGTAATTGTATTTTGTTTTATATACGAGTTTGGAAATCTGTTTTATTTTTAAATAGTGATAAATGATTTTATAAGTTTACATGTTCTGATAAAAAGTTTTAAAATTTCCGCTATTTTTACGGTGGGTCGCTCCGGTGGCCCTAATGTGACTTCTCGAATCGGATCGGGCTACCCGCATCGGTTTGGGGGGGTTACAGACCTTTCTGCAGAAACTTAGCCTTCAGTTGTTGGATTGAGTCACTAACATCTGGTATATTCACTGCCAGAGAAACATCCGAAACCCTCCCATCTCTACGTCCTGTTGGCACATCATACAATGGTCCATTTGCCTACATGCCATACATACAACCAATTAACAAAGATGAGAGAATGAAGATGTACATACATACATCAATGGAACCAAGTGTATGTATTTTGTACCAAAACTATAGCATCCCGAGCTGCTAAGGCGACTATATCAGCACAGGAAACAACTCCTGGACATGAAGCTTCGAGCTGAGCTTTGGCTTGCTCAATCACGTCATATACCCCAACTCCCTGGTGACTAAACGCATGTCTCTCAGCATTTGGACCGTTTTCTATCAGAATTGAACCATCACAGCCCTGGAATTCATACCATATGCATCCATGGTTCCAATATTAAAGATCAGCTCCCACTGTTTTTAACATAAAGTCAATGAAAAGAAGAAGCTCAACAAAGCAGTCATGGAATGGAGCCTGAGCAAGACAGGAGGGATTTTGGAGCTCGATTGAGCAGCATTTCGAACAACGGTAGAGACAATTGACTCGGCATCTGGGCTTGTGTTGGCATAGAACCCCACTGAGAGTTGGCCTTGAGAAACCCCAATGAAAGAAAATGCAGATAACAGTGGCAGTAGAATTAAGTAAGCAAAACCCATTGTTTAAATGTCTAAGTGCTAAGGGTGCGTTTGGTTCACGGAATGTAAGATTATTAGTGGGAATAAAAGATTACCCGAGAATGTTATATTTTGTGTTTGGTTGGTTTAGCAGGAATGTAAGATTATCGTGTTTGGTTAAATAAATAAAAGATTATTAGAATATATATTTGATCAAATTGTCCTTATTATATATTATTTTTTTTAACGAGTTGAAAAATATTTATATATTTTCTTTAAAAAAATTAAATTCATAATTATATAATTTTTTTACAAAATTAAAAATATAAAAAGGTTTAATGAAAGGATAAAATGTTATTTTAACCCCTGAACTTCATATAAAATTTTAATTATAGATTTTTTTTTTTGTAAATCTAAAATAGTTTAAGGATAAATTTATAATTTAACATTCGTAGAATTTTATTATTCAATGACAGAATAATGATATTTTTGAAGAAATGTTTTTAAGGACATTTTAGTCCAAACGTCAGTAATTCAACAATACCTAAGGAAAAAGAGGTAATCACATTCCTGGTAATATACCCAAAAAAATCCACTATTGGTAATGTAAGATTACCGGAAATGATATTCCCGACCAACCAAACGAAAAATGTAGATTCCATTCCCATGAGAATCTCACATCCCCTAACCAAACACATCCTAAAAGTAATAATCAACAAAAACAATATCTTCAAGGAGGAAGACGAATATATATATATATATATGTCTATATTGAGGAGGAGTTGTGTAAGTATGGGATGGATAAAGCTAAGAGATTGCCGACACCCATGGTAGCTAGTTGCAAACTTTCTGCATCTAGTGGTAGCCCTATTCTGAATCCTACTGAGTATTGCAGTGTCAGAGTTTTAAATTACGGTCTGAAAATATGATAGTGCCTGTGAAATAGCGGTTTCGCCGCCTTCTGAGTTACCTACAATAGCGTCCAATAACGCCCTTGATGGCTACAATCACGGTAAATCTGAAATGATCGAAAACACGACCGCGATCGCAATTAAGGGTAAGATGTGTATGAGCAGAGGTCAACCTTAGTTTTTTGTATTTACTTTGGGGCAATCCTATGTCTTGGTCTTTAAGAAAACATTAGGTAGTTTCTTGATCCACAAGTAAGGCATAGTATAGAAGTGTTGCTACTGAAGTTATTTGGCTTGAATCTTTTCTTCAAGAACTTCATGTTAGGCCTGCTTGTAAGTCGGTATTATGGTGTGATAGTTCAAGTGTGATTGTTGTGTCTACTAATCCAGTTATACACTTCAAGTTCAAGCCTTTATTTTAAAGGCTCTCATTGTCTCTCTTATGTATTTCATTATTTTTTTTCCGTGAGAACCTTTTATTTCTTGGGTCTTCGGATTATCAAGTAACAAAAGATTTTTTTTTCTTGTTCTTTCGTAGAAAGCACCATTATACGAAACTTACGAAAGACCATTAATATTACATCAACTCCATGACATTGATTAGCCTTTTATTATATAATTCTTTAGTGTACAATAATACATAGGCGATAGAACTAACCATTTATTATTTAGGAGATAGAATCGATCATATATGATTTAAAAGGTAAAATCGATCATATATTATACAAGCGACAGTGTCAACCGTATATTAATATTAACAAAAAATACACTAAAAATTTAAAATATACTAAGACGTAACTGAGAACTCATAATTTCAAGAGAAGATAATATTTTTATTATTACATAATACAATTATCACATTACACACTTTCCTATCTATTTTCTCTCCCTACCTCTAAGCTCCCTTTCTCTTATAACTCACTCCTATGCATTTTTTGCACACATTAACCCAATGAAAACTATCACCCCTATTTATAGATTTTAGTGGTCATTGATTATTGACCCGTGTCAATATTTTAGTCATTCATCTTGTAAATATCTAGGTTCTTCTATAAATAATTTTAAATATAATATTAAATATTACAATATCTAGATTATTTTATGAATATTTTTATACATTTACTATTTTTATATTATTCTAAAATATTCTTGAGATATATCTACTAAAGAATAAGTGTAAATTTATCTACAAATTGCATTGGCTTTCAAAAGAATTGATAAAGAATAGTAGATTCTTTTATGATTTAGCCATGCATGACATTATTCTCTCCAGTTTCAACAAAATCTCTTTTAAAGTTTGTATTTTTTTTTTCTCTTTTTTGTTGTTAGCCGTATGATTAAAAACGTCTCTGTATCCTACCCTATGAACTTCAAACACAATAGAAAATATATTTTACGTTATGATTTTATTTTTTTAATGGGGTGTTCATCAATTGTATCTGTATCTGTTATGTTATTTATTGGTTCTAGTTATTCATATTGTTATATTCTATTCAAAAGAAGAAGAATAAGAAACAAGGTTTGCAATGAAATCTTACACTTTGAAAGGAATTGTGCTTCATTTTATTTTTTTAAAAGTTTTATGATTTCATGAAAAACCCTTAAGATCCATAGTTGATTTGCCATATATAATTTGTTGCTTTTCCTCGCCTATGATCAGTTATAAATAGTAATAAATGTAAAATTTTATACCAACAACTAGTTGGTCTAGTTAGATGAGGTACTAGGCCGCTTAAGCAAGGTCAAGGGTTCGAATCCAAACGTTTGCGAATAGAGCAAACTGGGTTGGGAGGGTCACTTTCGCCTCTACAATACTCGATTTGCTGCATTAGTCGGTTAATAGATCGGATAAAAGTGATTAATTCAAAAAAAATGTAAAATTTATGTTAAGGTGGAACTTATAAAATTTTGAGAGAGAAAAGTATATTAATAATAAAAACTGTAAAATAATGGTTCATAAAAGGTTTCTGAAAATGGAGATAATGGAAATGATAACGATGATAGTGATGTTGTGTATGATAGTAATGATATTGATGAGTATGTTTCTTATTAAGATGAAGATGAGGAGAGCCATGCAGCGCACAAGAAGATCAAGTGGTTCGATTTGTTTTTTGAAAGCTTAGAGAAACCGACTGTTGAGGAGATTCTTTCACCAGTTCGACAGTGGTACTATCCAGTGTGTCAAGGTGGAACAGAGCCGTCAACTAGTATCGAAGCAGGGATGGACCAAAGGGAGCGGATAGGAACAATTGCCTCCAGAAAATTTTACTATATGTTTTAGAATTTTCTATGTATTTTCTATTAAAAATCTATTTTTTTCCTTCCTGTGTCCCTGTATAGAGGCGTGCAAGCCCTAATGACTCATGCAATGACTAAAACAATACATAGAGCTAAGATGCATCATGTATTTGTTAGATTAAAATCCACAATTATGAGTACATATTTATAATGTATATTGTTATAATAAAATATAAATAAATTAAGTTACCCATTATGCTATAAAGTCATAAGGTATTAGAAGTGTCATAGAAATAAAAGTGTAGATACTATTAAAGTTGTATTTATAATTTGAAGAATGGCAAAGTCATAAGTACAAACAATAACTGATTCTTAAATCAACTACATAAAATGCTATAATCCCTAAGAAATAGATAATCTTGTATTAATCTATCCCGTCAGAGAGTCGATACTAAAGGGAACTCTATCCCACGGTGCTCATCTAGCATAATTGTTTGTATAATTATGTGCAATTGAAAAGCATATACATGAGAATAGATATTAAGTTATAAATTTGATATCATTGATTATGGTTTCGTGAAGTATACAATACATATCTTTTGTTGATTAATTATTTCACGATTAAGAAATTTTGATACAATTATGTGTATTTGTTTTTAATTTTATTGGAAATAATTTTAAGTTTATTAAATTTAAATTCAGTGTTTGGTTAATCATGTAGTTGGTTTTGGTTTGTTGTATCATGTTTTGGTTTGATTTGGTGAATTCATTCTTAAGGAGTAGTCAAATATTTAAGTTTTACGGTTTCTAATAATGTCGTTTAGACAACCTTATTATTGGTTATTTCTGAAATCATGACGTGATTAGAAAATTCAATTTTGATTTTTGTCTGTTATGGATTATAGAACATATATTTAGTATTGATATATTCGATTCAGTTTTATTAAAGATTTAATTCACTAGTAAGTACTTTGATCTTGACTTTTGGTTAAATGATGGTTGCTAAATTTGTCTGTGGTAATTTATGAAGTTATGAATTGATTTCATGTTTAAAGATTTCTTCATAAACAATAAAAAAAAAATGAGTTTCCGATTTTTTATAACACAATTTATGTAACCTTATTTTGGGTTATTTAGGATATTATAATGCAATCAGAAATTTCAGATTTGACATTTGATTGTTATATTAAATTTAAATACTAATATTTATTTTTGATACGACTTAATTAAAAAAATGTCATTAAAATGACCTCAATTATGAAAAATATTTTATACATTTTATGTACATATAACTTAGGATATGTTAGTATTGATAGACCCAAAGGAAGATTAATAGTTGACATAATCGCATATACAACTTTGATAATAAGCATGTGATAATTATTCGATTTGATGTGTAAGTAATAAATCTACCCAAAGGAATATTTTTGCTTGACATGTTCTTATTATCAATGTTTGGTTACCGCACTAGATATCACTTAAGGTAAATATTTTGTCTAAAAGTGAAATATTAATGAAGCATCTGATATCTTGAGATAAGGTTTAAGTGTATTCAAATTTATTATTATTTTGGTTATATTTTAATTGAAAGATAAAATTAAGAGAAATTGATTGGTTGACAATATTTATATAGTTTTATTTATATTGCTAATGCAATATATCTATATATTCAATTCATTTTTTTAGTTTTGATTATTGGTTAATATAATATATATTTTGAAACAAAGTAATTCATATTATGACTAATATGATATTTTGATAGATTAGTTGAAACATAATATCGCCAAAGTGACCTCTTTTTTGTAAACTGCTTTATTTAAAATATCAAGATGATTATGTGATTCATGCGTTTATTGATGGACCCAAAAGAAAGTTAATATTTGGCCAGATTTA